TTAAGAAAACATAAATATAAACATCTGGATCGGTTTTGTTCCACAAAGCAACAAAGTTTTTTGTTGGATATAAAAATTTTAGACAAGCGGGATATGTGACAGTTGAAGGTACAAAATCAGATTTTTACATAATTTTAGAAATATTGTTATACCTGAAAAACGGACAGTTCACAATTATATTATAATTTTAGAAATATTATATAAATAGTATACCTAGTGATTTTTACGTTGTTTTTTTTCTAAACTTACTCTAAAAAACAGTCCAAAGATTAATACTAATCATTGTTAGTGTAACGTTTATAAGGTTGGTGATATTTTTTCTGAGATAGTTACACCAACTAGCATCTTCGCGAATATAATCTGTTAAATTTGAAACCAGAACACTATTATGTGTAGTAGTTTTTTTAAAAGATAATTTACTTAAATAAACCCTCAGGGTTATGATGTTAAATAATTATTATCACAAATTTTACAGAAAAACAGAGTTGAAATTAGAATCAGAATTTTGTTGAACTTCATAACATTTAAATTTTAAGCATACGTGTTTGGTCTTATAATATTCCTTCCAATTATTATACCATCGTAAATATATGAAAAAATACCCATCATAAATGTCTCCCTACGTAAAATCGTAACAATCAACCCAATTTAATTCATTAAATCTATTATAAAAATTTATCATATCATCATCACAAAAATTATCTATATCATTTCGAATTTTACACCACCGGAACCAAAAATCGATAAGCTTTTTATTTGTCTAGAGACAATTGAAATTTTGCACAAATACAGAGTGGTATGTAAGGTTTCAGATGATATATTTTTAACTGAATTTATTCTAGTAGTATAAGTTAAAAGAAATAATTAAAACTAAAAGTTTAAAAAACGCCCCTTATTCTATTTCCTTAGTGACGACACTATTTATGTTGTGAATGAACATTTATTATTACACTCGTCTATTACTTAAATAAGCAATTGAAACTTATAATTACAAATAATTACATATTTTAATGAAATATCTGAAATGAATTCGTTCACTTTCAAAAGATCTAGGGTATCTTCATCAAGTTCCTTCACACTTTTACTATAAGTTTTTCTAAGACTGGAAATGTATGGATCTGATGTATAGAGAAGAGTATGAAATACGTCTTCATTTGTAGCCGATCGAGAGTACTTCCTGGCATGATATAGGCGAAATTTTTTACAATCCTTATTACGGGATTTTTTAATCGTTTTTCTAATAACGACCGCTGCACTTTCTAAAGTTTGATTATCAAGATGTGTATAACTTTTTACAATTAAATGCGAGGATTTGTTGATATCAATTTAATGAAAACAATAAAATGTTGTCAAAATAAAAAACATATATTTACTTTTATAATTTTATTATTAGTGCATATATAAACTAATTTCGGTCATCTTCTATTCCTCTTTCGTTCTCTGTTTCATCCTCGTCATCTGATTCGGGGAACCACGCTCTTCTTAAAAATGAGTAATACGGCACCTTTTGCTTACTCAAGTGGTACCGCCTTGGGCACCCTGTACGTCGCCTGTGGGGTGTTACATCTTGTATATCTTAAAACTACATTATGTATGTGCATATGTTTGCACCAGATTTTCTCCTCCAGCCTCGCACATTTATGTGAAAGGATTTGAAAAGCAACGTATACTTTTGAAACATTTCCCAAAAAGTCAAATTGTAAACATTGAAGATTTAGAGTGTCCGTCACTTCGTTGCTTACGAGAACATTTTGACAAAAATTGCTGTGAAAATCATATAACTAAAAATTCTGTGTGTGCTGTTCAAAACATACAAAACTTGGCTACTTGGTATATGAATACTTTACAACTCAAAAGATGTTTGGAGATGATCTCTCGGAAGAAAAAACATCACGTTCTTGTTTCTGCATATAATGCTCTACCTGTCATAATTACTAGACCCGCTGTGGTAATTGTCAATAGAGATCCTGATTACATGCCTGGTAGTCATTGGATGGCTGTATACATTGATAAATTTGGTTTCTCATACTTCTTTGATAGTTTTAGAAATCCACCTCCGAATATTTTAAAGTTTCTTAAAAAGAGTTCTTGGATGTGGTCTTACAATACTTCACAAATTCAAGATATTTCTTCAACTGTCTGTGGCAAATACTGTACTTTATTTCTTTTAAACAATGTATTTGGCAATTCAATTGATGATTTTCTGAAGTTATTTAACGGAGATTTTCACAATAATGACAACCTATGTAGTAAAATGTTTGATAAATGCTTGATAAATGTTTTTTAAATAAATAAA